TCCGAGGCTGCAGTGGCATGTGTCAGAGACCAGTCCACCAGTTCATGACAATCATTTCACAAGGGTTCACAAGTCACATAGTGTGTTTGGTACTTGCTGATGAGTTCCAGCACAAAGAGCCATCTCATCTATAAGTGTGGAAGTCCTGTGGTGTTTGAACTGATGGAAAGTGCCTTTCCCAAACTTTTACAAGTGAAAAAACACAGGTAATATGTTTCTGTAGCTACCTGAGAAAAAAAATCAGAATCTAAAATTGAATGGAAAGTACAGTTTTGTTGTTTTGATTTTCTAAATATTTTGAGAAGCAATTAAAAGGTACTTCTCTAAATCCCTACTTAATTATCTTTTCCATGATGAAAAAGTGAATTTTATATACTTGCAGGAGAAAAATGTTTTAGTGGTCAAACTTCTGAGATACAGAAAATGAATCTGATCTTTTAACTGACTTTGATTCATTTGTGAAGGACCACCTGGGCTATGGAGGACTTTCATTTTTGAAGCAAACAACATATAAGACACCTATAGTTCCTGGTTGTCCTCTGTTGCAGAGTTGGGCTGATTTCAGATTATAGGTGTTCATCCAGGGGCATGTGGTAGTTCTGAGACATAAAGTGACAAGTAAATTACTATAATTTTAATGTGTGCATGATGTGCAATGTGAGGAACGCAGTGCTAAGATCTAAGTAAGATAATCTTACTTTGTGCTCTGGTCTTGCAACTGTCTAAACATTATATGCAATTATATGCAATACAGGACAAACACAACAATCTGTTGAACTGGATGCAATGTGTGGCATAAAATGGGAAGCTTCAAAAGATAAGTAGTTCTTCTTTTCAGTGTCAGCATACATTACAAAGTAAAACTCCTTCTAGAGGACATTCTCAAATAGTCCACTTCTGTAATGGGGTAAGAGGGAAGAGGTTGAGGGAGATTTGTCAAAAGAGATACTGCTTTCCCTTCCAATTATGAATATTACATAAATTAGCAGTTTATTTCTGTAATTTCAGGAGCCCCTAGGACTGTACAAGTAGAGTCCAAAAAGCATGAGACATTAGAGCAACAGAATGGATTAATGAGATTTGTTTTGCTTCACACTGAGGTTTTCTGCAGGTTCGATTCCAGTAAATGGGAAGATGTACTTTGTTTTTTACTACCTACTTTTACGATTTCCTTCAAATGTTGGTGGCCATACTAGCAGTTAGTCCCAGTGAGGCCATGGGATTACTCAAAATTTGAAGTGCTGGTGTTGATGCTTCTTAAAATACGATTTTAATGTGTACCATATGCAGGTGGTGGTCATCATACCCATGCATAGTGCTGAGCACAGGAGCTTTTTGTAGATGTCCACCTGATCAATAGCTAAGTGCCTCTAAAGTCACTGGAATAGTAGCTGGAGGCCTATTTAAGACATGGAGAGGGGATTGCTAGTTGGAAGATCCTCAGTAGCTGTAGAGATTTGGGTAGACTTTCTTGACATGTGCTGGGTTATATACACTTACATACAACAGTGGTGATTTAGTCTGTAGTGAAAGGCATACTTGTGATGACAACATAATATAGAGTGAGGTAATTGAGCATAGGCACGAGTCTAATAGGGGTTTTAAGTGTACTTTTAGATAGGCTAAATGGAGAGCATATGCTTTTCTAAACATGTGTGTTTCTTTTGTATAGAAATGAGGAAAACCATTTCCGTATCTCTTGTTTGAAATTGCTAATCACATTAACTAACAAACGTTGTCTGAGGCTACCTTGGTTAGAGTTTGTGTTGTGCTTAAGGTACTGGGTTTGAATAATATAGTGATGCTGGATCTTTTTGGGCATCATAGGAACCAAGGAGACCTAACAACATATTTTAATATTTTAGTGCTCTCTTAAGGCTTTCACTGGGAACAGTCCCATTATTTTGAACACTCTTGCAGTGCAGCAGGTGTCCATGGCTGTCAGTGAGAGGTTATTCTTTCTCATAATGAGAACTTGAAAGATGACAGATGGATATGAGTTTCACCAAGTCTTTGTACATTTCTGGATCATGTTCACTTTTTTTAGTTAGTATCCTAATAATGTACATACCATATGCTTAGCATGTCAGTGAAGAGTGTTTCCTTTCAGATACATGTGCCAACAGGTGCAGAAAATAAATAAATGTAGTAAATACCTTCTCTTTGTTTGTAGAAGATGGCCTATATATGCTGCATTGCATTTTCTTGTGTCTGTATATGATTAATAAGCTCAACTCACACTGTACCACCATATGCAATTATGATTGATAATACTTTAAAAAATGAGATAAAGTAGTTTACCTGCTGTGACAGCACTGCCTTCTTATTTTAACTATCTTCTAGATATTTCTTTTTCAAATACTGAAACCTACAGAACTAAATAATATGAATTGTTTAAGTTTCCTACCACCTTTTAGCCTTGTGAAGTAGGAGAACACTGAGATGTGTGATATATCTGTCTCTGCTGACTAATGAATAACTTTTCAAGATAATGGGAAATATTCAGCAGTATATTGTTTTCTAGAGAAGGTAAACATCAATTAACTGTAATTCACAATGTGTTTAAAACAATTATCCTTTATCATTAAAGTTAATAATATGCACATTAACAGCTGATGTAGTCAGAATCAATGCTGCAAACTCAGAGATGTGATCCCTGGACATCTTTGTCTAAATATTGATTTCATTGTCATTTTTATAAAGTATGAAACAAATTATGTGCCTCTTAATATCATTAAAGTAGCCCCATTAATTTAACTACTCAATTTATGGCTTCTTATAATGCACAAAAAACTAATATGGAGTTATGGAAGACATTATGAAATACAGATGCTTAGTGTCCTAGATTTGATTGTGGTAGGGCAGTGCCAACATTCAGTACCTTTCAAACACTTTAGTGCCCAAATAAAGTCGAGACAAGCAAGCCATGCAGTAGTACGCAACTCAGTTTTTAATTTTAGGCAAAGTTCCCTTGGGTCCAGGGAGCAGCAATTTGTTGTTCAACTTTCTACTTACATATTTGTAGCCTTACATGAAAATTATGTGTATGCACTTGTATCCTGTGCCAAAGGCAGAAGTTACTCCTTTTACTTACTGAAGAAAATAAAAATAGGAAAGAAGGACAGCGTTTTTCTGTTTTGGATAGCATTTTTACAGTTGCCATTACTATCATAATTTGAAATATGAGTTACATAATTTAGTCCATGGTGTGATTTCTTCTGTTTATTGCCTCTTTATTGCAACTGTCTTCCCACCATGTCCCTCATGTTTTCATTACTGCTCTTTCCATCATAGCAGTTCCTCAGGTTTACCTCACGACACCTTGTTACCCTTCCACGAAATTTCAGGAGTTCCCTGAAACCCTGGAAATACCAATCCTGCTGACTTTTGCTTCATCCCTCTTCGGAGAGCTCCTCTTTACACAACCAAGCTGTTGTTAAGCATCAGATTCAGTTGTCTACTTTTCTTCTTGTCCTTTTGTCCTAGTTTCAGCCAAGGATGGCAGGAGAGGGGAGCCAGAGGCTGGAGCCATGTGGACCTGTCTAGGTTGTTGTTCTATACCACCCACATCATTACCAAGGGGGGAGGGGCTAGAAGTACGAGATTCTCACTTCCCAGAGGAAAGGGCATGGCTTTGGGTGGGGGGAAAAGAGGGCGCATGGAGGTTCCATGGCCATTTTGTCCTTTCTTAGGGGAGCAGACAGCACACAGAGTAGTGGGATGGTGCTAGTCCCAGCTGCAGGCTTTGTCTGCATTGTGGTTGTTTCATTGTCTTGGGCTTGGGGGAAAAAACCACAGGTACAGATGGTTTATCTGCCATTGTTTTTCATTATCTTGGGCTTGGGGAAAAAAAAAATGGTGGAGGGAGCATCAGACTTAGCATTTAGCATATAATCACTCTTTTATACACTGTTGTTAGTAGTATTGTTACTGTTCATTTTCTTATCTCATTGCTGTTTCCAGTAAATCATTATCTAAACCCGTAATCTCTGCCTTTTGTCTCTCTCACCTGAGGTGGTGGGGGAAGTGAAACAGCTGCATGGGGCCAAATTTCTGTCTGGGCTTAAACCGTGACACCTTTCTAAATATAAACCTTGAAAAAACTTAGTCTAAGTTTCCTGTTATACCATCTAAACTTGTAGTCAGGATGATTTTTCTTGCTCTCTGCTCGGTATCTAAGCACTGCTCACCTGCAGTCTTTTGCTATAAGCTGCTTATTTCACATTTAAGCCCCCCCCCCCCCCCCC